GCGGCCCCGGCGCGCCCCCCTCCCTTCTCATCCTGGTGTGCACGGCCCCCGAGAACCTCAACCAGAGGAACGCCATTCGGGCCTCGTGGGGCGGGCAGCGCGAGGCCCGCGGGCTTAGGGTGCAGACTCTCTTTCTCCTGGGAGAGCCCAGCGGGCGGCATCCCACCCAGGGCTCCCATGAGAACGACCTGGAACGGGAGTCAGTGGCCCAGGGGGACATCCTGCAGGCGGCCTTCCACGACTCCTACCGCAACCTGACCCTCAAGACGCTCAGCGGGCTGAGCTGGGCGGACAAACACTGCCCCATGGCCCGCTACATCCTCAAGACCGACGATGATGTGTTTGTCAACGTTCCGGAACTGGTATCAGAGCTGGTCCGGCGAGGGGGCCGTTGGGAGCAATGGGAGAGGGGCATGGAGCCCCAGAGAGAGGCTGGGGCTGGAGATGGAGAGTGGAAAGGAGGCCGCCCCACCCCGGTGAGTCAGCCCATGCCTCTTCTGTACCTGGGCCGTGTGCACTGGCGGGTGCACCCCTCTCGGACTCCAGGGAGCAAGCACCAAATATCGGAGGAGCAGTGGCCTGCCACCTGGGGCCCTTTCCCACCCTATGCCTCGGGCACTGGATATGTGTTGTCAGCTTCCGCTGTGCAGCTCATCCTCAAAGTGGCCAGCCGGGCCCCCCCTCTGCCACTGGAAGATGTCTTTGTGGGGGTAAGTGCCCGACGGGGAGGCCTCACCCCAACCCACTGTGTCAAGCTGGCTGGTGCCACCCACTATCCCTTGGACCGGTGCTGCTATGGGAAATTCCTGCTGACATCCCACAGGCTGGACCCCTGGAAGATGCAGGAAGCCTGGAAGCTGGTGGGTGGCTCTGATGGGGAAAGGACTGCACCCTTCTGCTCCTGGCTCCAGGGAGTCCTGGGCATCCTGCGGTGCAGGGTAATAGCCTGGCTTCACAGCTGAGGACCCGGGCCACTGGCGAGGAGTGAGGAGCTGAGGGGCTGGCCAGCTCCCCCACCGTTCTCCCGGGCCCGAGGCATCTGGCTGCAACTGGACAGTTTCCTGACACCAGATGCTCAGTCTGTCACTGAAGCCTGAAGGATACAGGGGAAACCCAGGGTCTGGCCTGCCAGCCCCAAAGATGGTCATCAGGAGAGTAAAGCAATGCTGTGGTCATCCCCCATCCATGGCAGGAGAGGGGCAGGAGCCCCTCAATAAATTTGTGTTTCTACTTCGAGTGCAGTGTGGTCCGCACCAGGAGTCCCGGCACACAAGCCTGGGCCCTGCCAGCCCCTGCTGGGTGGGAAGCACATCTCCAGGGACTCGGGAGAAAGAGCACAGCCTCTTTGAGAAGAAAAACCCCTAAAGAGCAAAGATAAGGCCACAGCAACCACGAGAGATGGGGTGGGGGTAGGGGCGGGACACATGACCACTTGGAGCCTAGAGCAGCCCCAGGCTGGGCAAAGGAAGGGGACAAGTACACAGGATGATCCAGACACATTATCCAAAAACTTCACTTTCTTCTTTAATACCCACCCATCCCAGGAGCCAGCTGTCTATTCCCAGTTGGGGAAGGGGCACCTGCCCCTCCTCATTCCAGGGAACAGGAATTCCCCCCACAGGTGATCTTGGGGAGAGAGTGTTGTTCCCAGGCCATCTTGGAGCCTGGCTCAGCGCACAAATCTGTCCAGGGCAGATGGCCGGGCCCCCATGGGCTTGGCCGCCTTCTCTTGCTTCTGTGGCTGCTGCTCAAGGCTCTGTCGGACTTTGTCCTGGGAAGATAGGGGGCAAAGTGTGAAGTGGCAGGCTGGCAAGGACAGAGGCACCAGCAGAAGGAGGGTACAGCCCGTGGGAGGCCTGGCCCACCCCCAAATGCTCCTTTACCCTGTGTTCCTCGTCCATGACCTTCCTCTTCCTCTTCACCAGGCTTGCTGTGGAGCTTCGGCCCTTCAGCTTCGGCTTTGGCTGGAAGGGAGCCTTGGACTCTGGGTCGTAGCCCTGGGGAAGGGGACAGGAGTGAAGTCTGTAACAGCCTCAGAGACAGGGCACTGTGGCAGCACCCACCTGCTGTACCACACTTCTAGCATGTGGTGGGTGAGGGTGTGCCTGGGACTCGGGTCTGCTCCCTACCAGCCTCTCTATCCGTTCCTTCTTTGCCTGCTCCAAAGAGATGACATCAACCTCTGCCAGGGCTCGTGGGTCCAGACAAATGAGCTCTGCAGGTACCTGGAGGTGTCACAGAGAGAGGGACAGGAATGGGTGAGGAGGGTGACCCCAAAGAGGGACTGCAGCCAGGCGGTTGCTGAATCCAACTCTTTCCAAAACCCCCAGTATGAGAGCTTGCCCCAGCCCCCACATCCTCACCTTCTCCAGCAGGGCCTTCACCTCCCACTCCTGCCTCTGCTTCCGGCTCCTGTATGGATTACTCTCCAGGCCGTCAAAGTTGGGCTCAGCAGCCCCTGGGGGGAGGGAAGAACGTGGAGCCATAAGCAAGAATCCAGCTCAGCACTCCAGCTTGACCAGGCCCCTTGCTCCCGGCTATCTCAGGCCCACCCCTTGGCCCACTTACCAGGGACCAGCATGCTGGTGATGCCCCCACTGTGCCCCACCCCCAGCACGTCTTCAAAGGGGCAGAACTGAAGGCCATGCACGTGGCCTGAGAGACGGTGGGTGAGATAGGGCTTCTCCAGGGAGGGTGGGCTGGCCTTGCCCTGCCCTGCCCATATGTTGACCACATCACCCATTCCTGCGGCCAGCAGTCCCCGCTGGGAGAAGGCCAGGTGCCCCGCTCCCTGGGGCAGGGTCCGAGCACTCAGAGGCTGGAACGTCCCTCGCAAGTCAAAGATCTTCAGCTGGTGGTCCAGGCCAGAGGTGGCCATGTACCTGGGGGATTAGGGAGGACCAATTACTTTGTAGTGAGGGGTTACTGAGCAGGCCTGTGGCCGAGTCCAGGCATCAAGTCTGGTTGGGAATAAAAAAGACTGATGGTAACCACAGCCATCACACCGAACACTGCAGACAGCCTCCTGGTCACACGTCACACAACTCTGTACTATGGAATTTCCCTTTTACAAATGAAACAGCTCAGAGGAAGGAAAGCAGGGTGAGAGGTAGAGCTAGGATTCAAGGCAGGCCTATTCTTTAGCATCTGCCCTCTAACCTACTCAAGATGTGAACCAAAGAGAGAATGCCCATGACGTGTACCTAAATGTGACGTCCTACTGCACAGACAGGCAACACGGCGGCTCAGCAAAGGGGAGGGCGGATGGACTGCAGTGGTCAGGAGGCCTTCCTGGGGAGACTGGGATTTGAGCCATTCCCAGCAATTCTCAAGAAAGCAGAAGCAGACACAGCAGGTACAAATGGGTGAACGAGAGGAGGGGGGGGGGGGGTGGTGTTTCCAGGACTGGCAGGAAACAGACCAGGAGGGTCAGCAGAGGACAAGTTGCAGGGACTCTGTCAAGTCAGACTGGGATCCAACGCCCCAGCCGGGCCCCTGGCCATCACAAGCCACCACGGAAGACGGCATGGACCTGAGGGAACCTCAGGAAGTCATGAAGCCGTGTGCCAGAGGGCCCTACTCCACCCCTTCCCAAGAGGAGGGCGAGGTGGCTGACCAGATCCTCTCAAGGAATCGGGCACTGCACTAGTTTATTGTCAGAGGCTGGCCTTTCTGCCTACGTTCAAGCAGTTCCTCAGCGAGGGAGGCTGGAGAGGAACCAGCCAGGCCAGGAGACGCACGTTTGCAAAGGGCCAAGGATGCTCTCTCTAGCTGTGGCTATGAGCCCCAGAGGAGGGGACTGAAGAGTTCCTAAGAGCAAAGGCCCAGCTGGATACTTCTGATAAGATTATCAGGGCCCAGCTCCACCAAAGGGCTCCTGGGACACAGGGCCACACCCTTCCGTGCACCAACAACTCTGGGCACATCCTGACTCCTCACCCTCTGGGAACCTCTGCAAATACCAGGTGGGCATCCAGGCCATGCTACCATGTGGTAAACAGTCCAGCTTTGAGAATCCAACCCCAACGGATTCCAGAAAGCCTCTTATGGAAGAGGCGAGCCTCATCTCTGGAGCCCCTGCGGAGGACCTGGGGCTGGACCTGCGGTCAGAGACCGGAGCCATTCGGCACTGGTGTTGAGCAAAGCTCAGCGAACGAGCTCATTAAGCCCCGGAGAGGAGCGGCTGACCCAGGCAGCCCCGGAAGGCAAACTACAGCTCAGGGCCAGCAGCCCACAGAAGGCAGCCAGCTCGGGACAGGCCTCGCACAGGCCAGGCTGGCCCAGCTATGGGGCCAAAGAGGCAGAACCAACTCATTTGGTACCAAAAATACAACTCTGGGAGTCTAAGGGGTGCGAGCCCCTGGAGACTTTCATAAAGTGGGGGCCACTTCGCTTTTCCTTTTCCTGATTTCCTTTCAAACAACTTAAAAATAAAGGTACGTAGTTTCTATTTAATGTAGAGGATTCTTGAGCAGCTATAAAAGGAGGAAAGCAGCCGTGGGGAGGCTGTTCTGACAGCTCCCGGGAACAAGGCAGGACGAAGGCTTGAGGCTGGAAGCAGGCTGCGAGCACCACACATGCCCACGGAGACAGCAAGGATGGAGGGAAGCAGATGTGCAGGGACCTTTGAGGGACAGGCAGTCAGGACTTCACGGGGCTCATGAACAGCAGAGCCTGGGCACCCAGACAAACAGTGCTTTTAAGTTCTGCTCCTCCGGACGCCAAGGAACACGGGGCTGTGTAGCGAGCTAGTGGTGTCCAAGAAGTCAGATTGTGCGCAACAGGAAAATGTGGCAGAAAAGGAGCAGGCAAGGAGGAGCCTGGGAGGCAGGTGTCCGAGGTGACAGAGACAGCTGAGTAGCAACTAGATGCCCCGGGTGTCCGATCCAGTGATGGACACGTCAAGTCTGAGGTGACAGAGACAGCTGAGTAGCAACTAGATGCCCCACCTGGCCAATCATCCCTGAAAACTACTGCCACCACAGGCAGGCTCAATGGCCCATTCATCCTTCTGCCCCCGAACCTTAGCACAGAGCCCCGCGAAGGCCTGATGAATGAGAGGAATTAGAAGAAAACACACAGGAATCTGTGTGAAAAACTCCGCCAGATACACACACACACACACACACCAGACAGAACAGCTGTGAAAGGCAAATACTCTCAGGAAGCCCAGACATTCCAAGCAAACCCACCTCCCTGCCCTCACACCAGCCAGACCTAGGGAACCGTGTGTTACTGACGGGACGATGAAGGCGGGGCTCCCTGTTCACTGGCTCCATGCTAAGCTCCATGTGCCTGAACTCACTTTACCGCCTACAACAGCTTTTTGAGCTCAGCCCAGGACTGGCAAACTACGGCCAAACAAATCCGGCCCACTACCCTAGATCTATAACGCCCACAGCTGAGAATGATTTTTACGTTAAGTGGTTGGGGGGAAAAAATCAAAAGAATATTTCAAGCCCGGCTAGTATGGCTCAGTGGTTGAGCATCGACCTATGAACCAGGAGGTCACAGTTCGATTCCTGGTCAGGGCACATGCCCGGGTTGCAGCCACGATCCCAGTGTGGGACGCCGATTAATGATTCTCTCTTATCACTGATGTCTCTCTCTCTCTCTCCCTTTCTCTCTGAAATCAATCAAAATATACTAAAAAAAAAAGAAAAAAAGAATATTTCAAGACGAGAAAATTATAGGAAATTGTGTCCACAAATAGTCTTATTGGAACACAACCACATTCACTCATTGACTGCTTTCGTGCTACATTAGCACAGTAGAGTGGTCAAGACAGACACTGACATGGGATCGCTTTGCGCTGCTGCTGGAGTCGCAGCCACACGGTTGTAACCTGACAGCACTCAGAGCACCTCCCAGGCCACCTGTCTCATCACCTGCCTGTGTGCAAGACATTTTCAAGGATAAAATATGTAAAACCTCTCTACAGATCACCTTTAACAGATACACATTTGCAGTCGAGTTTAATGATTTTGAACACTAACTTTGAATATCAATTAAGCAAAAAAATTATGGCATTCAATTATTACATTTTGAATTTCATTGTTTAAAAATTTGTGATACTTTTTTTTCTTATTATTCAAATAGCTACATAATACCCTCGATTTTGCCTCCTGGCCAGCAAAGCCTAAAACATTTTCGCTTTGCGCTGCTGCTGGAGTCGCAGCCACACACGGTTGTAACCTGACAGCACTCAGAGCACCTCCCAGGCCACCTGTCTCATCACCTGCCTGTGTGCAAGACATTTTCAAGGATAAAATATGTAAAACCTCTCTACAGATCACCTTTAACAGATACACATTTGCAGTCGAGTTTAATGATTTTGAACACTAACTTTGAATATCAATTAAGCAAAAAAATTATGGCATTCAATTATTACATTTTGAATTTCATTGTTTAAAAATTTGTGATACTTTTTTTTCTTATTATTCAAATAGCTACATAATACCCTCGATTTTGCCTCCTGGCCAGCAAAGCCTAAAACATTTACTATCTTTATATATGTATATATATGTACATGTACATATATATATATTGATTTCAGAGAGGAAAGGAGAGGGAGAGATAGAAACATCAATGATGAGAGAGAATCATCAATTGCTACTGCCTGCACTGCCCACACTGGGGATGGAGCCCACTACCAGCGCATGTGCCCTGACCAGGAATTGAACCATGATGTCCTGGTTCATAGGTCGATGCTTAACCACTGAGCCGTGCCAGCCAGGCCTACCTGGCTCTTTATAGAAAAAGTTTGCTGACCCTTGAGCTAGACACGCATGTCCCCACTCTCAGGGTGAGGAAAGTGTGGCACACAGAGTTATGCAATGTGCCCACACCCACATGGCTGGTCAGTGGTGGCATCAGGATTTAAACCCAGGCAGCTTGATGCAGTGTCTGTGCTCTTAAAGACACACGGCCTTCCATACCTTTCCGCCCAGCTGCGACCACCAGCACTTCATGCCCAAACAAGTGACTTACGTGCCTGTAGAATCTACTGCCACAGCCCGGACCCCCCCGCGGTGACAGAGAATCTTTGCCAACGGCTCCTTCATGGCTGGACTCCATAAGGACACAGTACCTGACGGTCAGAGAAGAAGAGCCAAAGTGGGCACCAAGGGGATTAAACTTGGGAAAGATGGCGACTCTAGACCAAGAGGAGCCCAGAGAGGAAGGTAAAAGGGCAACTTTATGGGACTGGTGGAGTACAAATATAGGAGAAAAGCAGGGTAGGATGGTCAGAGAGTCAAATCTCAGCCAGGGACCCACCATTGCTGTGTCCAAGATGGATGACGGCATTGTAAGGGTTCTGGGTCATGACGTCCAGTCGTCCGGCCCGGGCATTCAGAGCTGCCACAATCTTCCCCACTGACACGTCCAGGTAGGTCAGAAAGCCTGTCTCTGACTGTGAGAGAGAAATGAGTCCTGATTGCCCTGTCCTCCCTCTACTGGGGTGCCAGAGGAGGCATGGTCTTCTCAGGGGCTCCCACCCAGTCCCTGTGCTGACAGCCACTCACAGAGGTGGCCAGGAGGAAGTGGAAAGGCAGGAACTCAAGCCGCGTGACGCGGTCGCAGCGGCGGATGCAGTGGAGTTCAATTCCCTGGTTGTCGTAGATGTGAAGCCAGCGGTTCTGAGCGACAGCAAGCAGTGCCTCCGAATGCAGGAACCTGGGAGGAGAGAGCAGGGGGTAAGGGGTCACAGCTGTCGTTCAATCAAGAAGGGCTGTCTCACCGCCAATGACCCCTGACGGACAGGCCACTGACCGGATGTCCCGCACCGCCTCCATGACGTTGATCTCACACATGAGCTTCTTCGTCACCCAGTCAAGGGCAGCCACATGACCCCGGCGCCCTCCGAAAGCCAAGTGTCTGTTGAAGGTGGGGAACACGCAGGGTGTCAATGCAGGGGAGCACCCTCAGACCATTTGAGGTCTGCTTCACACCAGCCCCTTCTCTCCAGGTGAGAGGTGTCCTACGTGTTCACCCTCACACGCAAGCAAATCACAGCACACACCCCACATCAACAACCAAACATACACGGTATGAGGTGGGCCTGGCTGAAGTGGTTAAGGAGACGTGCCCTCATTCCACTCCCAGAGTCACTAGAATTCAACCTTACCTCCCAGTCTGAGAGTAATTCAGCCTGTAGGGTCCAAACTGTCGCAAGTTCAAGTCAAAGTGCTGGGCAAGGGAAGAGTTAAAAAAAGAATGAAGAACTAAATGGCTCACTTCAGTAATTCCCCCTGCCAGTCCCCACTTCGTCTTGCCTGGCCCATCCCCATCCTCAGGCTCACCTTGGCCGCACTTGCAATGTCCACAGCCTCCACGATGTCTGCCTGGAGAATCTTTGCTGTGTCCTCCCCATCCTCCCCTTCCAGGAACCTGCAAGTGGGCGTTGGAGCTGCAGTGAAGCTTCCTACCATGAGGTAAGTGTGCCAACAGGGCACGGGAAAGGACAGTCCCAGGAAGCAGGGGCGGGAGAGGCCCGGATCAGGGGCCACTCACCCAGGCTCCTCTGCAAGCAGCAGCTCCGAACGAGCGGCTTTGACACTTATTTCCTCTTCCTCAGCCTCAGCCACCTCAAGCCGGCTTCGGGTTTTGGACTTAGAATGTGGCAGCTATAACATCGGTGGTGGGGAAGGTCCGGGGGAAAAACAGACACCATGTGAGGTCACGAGAGAGCCACCTGGTCCCCCTCCATCCATCTCATCCAGACAGCCCTGCCTGCAACCCCGCTCTCAGACTGGCCCTCACCTTTTTGGATTTATCAATGCGACGGAACTTCTGAGCAACCTCCACAGAGACCGGGGCGGGGCCTGGGAATGGGTCCTGGGCCTGGGGCAGGGAGGAGGCAATTCGCTGACGGGCTCGGATTGACCCCAACCTTGGCCTCCTCAAAGCACAAGGCGACTTGCCCCGCTGCCCTGTCAGGTCCCATGCTCACCCCCGACAAGCTCCGCGGCGGCTCCGCATCCCTCCGTTCCCGGGGTTTCTTTACGATCTGGGGCTTCTTGGAGACGCGAGACTTCTTTGGGGTGTGAGTGTTCTTTGGCTTCTGGGGGCGGAGCTCTCGATTCCTCTTCTTGTTAGGAGGGGGCCCTGGAGAGGCGGCGGCAGCGGTCGGAGTGGTCTCTTCCTCCCAGTATCGCCGCGGTCTCTTTTATATATATAATTATGATGATTAATTTCAGAGAGGAAGGGAGAGAGAGAAACACCAATGATGAGACCAACATTGACGGCTGCCTCCCGCACGCCCCACACTGGGGATCGAGCCCGCAACCCGAGCATGTGCCCCGACTGGGAACCGAGCCGTGACCTCCTGGTTCATGGGTCAATGCCCAACCACTGAATCAGGCCGGCTGGGCCGTGGCGGTTTCCACGGGCAGATCAGCAGCCCTGATGGTCCGCTGCCCGTGCCCCGCCCCTCCGGCCCCGGGCCTGAAAACTTTCCTTCCGCCCCAGGAAGATCTCTACCTTTTTCTTGGTCGGAAGTTTGTCTTTCTTGGGAGGGATATCCCTGCCCGGCTTGGGGGCAGTCTCCATCCTGCCCACCCTGCGGACGATCCACGTGCAAACTCCTCTCAGCTGTCCCACAGACTCACAGGTATCTCCCGGAAGTCCTCCAGCCCTCATCCAATCAGCGCTGTACCAGGTGGGAAGCCTTAGTCGCCATCTTGAATGAGGGCGGCTCGCCCTTAAGGGGCCAGGCGGACCTTGCTCCCGCCCCTCCGAGTGGCAGCTTATGCACGAGTAACGAAAGAAAGGCAAGTCCGGGACCAGGTCCCAAGAAACGGTGCGGTTGATTTTTCCATCTTCGTTTCCCCATCTTGCCTAGAATCTTCAAAATTTGTATTTTTAGCAGAACGCCGCTTACTAAACGCGTCTGAACTACAATTCCCGGCATGCACCAGATGGCAGCATTCCCAGCATTCTTTGTTTACTTCCGGGTTTGTAATTACTGAAGGGAGAACGAGAGTGAGGCGGGGTTTCGGTTTGGGGTCTTGTTGCAACTGCCACTCGCTACGGCCTGGGCCGTGTGGATACGAAGGGAGAAGCCGCTGTGCCCCGAGAGCCCGCCCCTCAGGAGAGCTGTCACCTCCGCGAGCCAGACCATTGCCGGGAGCGCGGGGCCTTCCAGAGCGTGAGACCCGGCGCCCCTCTCCCGCAGGCTCGCCGCCGCCATGGCTGAGCTGATCCAGAAGAAGCTGCAGGGGGAAGTGGAGAAATACCAGCAGCTGCAGAAGGGTAAGGGCAAGGGCGAGGGAGAGGTCGGCGCAGCCTCGCCCGGACCCCTCACCCCTTCGCGCGCTCCGAACCCAAAGCCGTTCTCAGGCCATGCTTCCTTCCCCACCCCTGCCGCGCCGCCCGGCCTGACTGCCTCCCACCCCGTTTTCTTCTGACTAGGATTGTGGGGGTCAGGGGGCACGTGTCTTTTCTCTAATAAAGTCTTTCCTGCCACCCACACTCTCCCACCCACAGACCTGAGTAAATCCATGTCAGGGCGGCAGAAGCTTGAAGCACAACTAACAGAAAATAATATCGTGAAGGAGGTGAGACTGGGACTGTGGGGCAAGGAGGGCGGGGCGGTCCTGGCCAGGATGCTGACGTCCTGTGCCCCACGCCTCCACCAGGAACTGGCCTTGCTGGATGCGTCCAACGTGGTCTTTAAACTTCTGGGTCCCGTGCTGGTCAAACAGGAGCTGGGGGAGGCTCGGGCCACAGTAGGCAAGAGACTGGACTATATCACAGCTGAAATGTGAGTCTGTCCCCCACCCTGATGCGCCTGACACCACCGAGGAGAGGTGCTGGGAACCACTGCAGAGGACCACGTCCTCCAACCCCTCCCCATCCCTGCCCTAGATCTCAAGTTGTCCACTGATCTTTCTTGCCTTCAGCATCCTAAGTCTCCCTAACTGATTTGCTCCTTTGTCTCTCTTGCCTCCTCTCAGTAAGCGATACGAATCCCAGCTCCGGGACCTTCCACGTCCTCCAACCCCTTCCCCTCCCTGCCCTAGATCTCAAGTTGTCCGCTGATCTTTCTTGCCTTCAGCATCCTCACTAAGTCTCCCTAACTGATTTGCTCCTTTGTCTCTCTTGCCTCCTCTCAGTAAGCGATACGAATCCCAGCTCCGGGACCTGGAGCAGCAGTCAGAGCAACAGAGGGAGACCCTTGCGCAGCTGCAGCAGGAGTTCCAGCGGGCGCAGGCGGCCAAGGCAGGGGCTCCTGGCAAGGCCTGACCCTATGGTCCGGGGGCAGGGGGAGCCCAGGCAGCTCTAGGGTCTATACTGTAGCTAATAAAATGTGAAGTCACCTGGCTGCTTGACCAGCCACTTCTGTCGTAATTGTCTTCATCCATTATCCCAGCCCCTTCCACCTAATGTGTATACACCACCTGTTACTTCAAGACCAAATTCCTGCAACTGGAATTCTTTGTGACAGAATAACCCATCCTTTCTTGAGACTAAAATCTGAAATATCTCAAGCCTCGTCTGCATATAAAACACTTAGCTTGGTTGGCAGGCCCCTTTAGGAATCAGGAGGGCATTCCCAACTGTTGTTGGGATCAGTTTAATTCAGTCCTCTCATCTGAGACCCCAGGAAGAAAGGTGGGACCTCAGTGCTATGGTTCTTTGTGACAGAGTAACCCATCCTTTCTTGAGACTAAAATCTGAAATATCTCAAGCCTCGTCTGCATATAAAACACTTAGCTTGGTTGGCAGGCCCCTTTAGGAAACAGGAGGGCATTCCCAACTGTTGTTGGGATCAGTTTAATTCAGTCCTCTCATCTGAGACCCCAGGAAGAAAGGTGGGACCTCAGTGCTATGATTTCTTATCCTCCAAGTAGCCTCAGCATCTCTTAGTCTTTTTAGTATCTCATTTGTTAGAATTTGAATGTAGCTTGGGCTGATTTAAATCCTAGCACATACTTTGTGATGTTCTAAGTCCTCCAAGTTTGTACATTCCCCACAAAGTTCTTCCATGTCTTTGTCCTAAAATTGTTTCTTATAAATTTGCAGCCAGGGGAGTTCTTCCTTCTGATCACTTTAACTGGGTGGCTAGTACTTGACATGGGTCTGTGACAACTCAGGAGAAAAATGTAAGAGCAAATAAAGGGACCGGGGACGGAGAGGTTGCTAGGGAGGAATAAACCAGGATTCTGAGGGCACGGTTTTTCAGCAACACTCCACTTTCAGATCTTCATTGGGATAGAAAGCGCTGGGTCCCTTCACGTTCCATCTAAATTCCAACCAGCTCCCCTCCCGCACTCCCAGCAGCTAGTTCATACACTGCAAGGACGGGAATAGAACTCAGGTAGTGTTTTGGTTTATTTTAGTGTTGTCACAGTGACAGGAACCCCCAGAACAGGAACCTACTTCTTGCCGTCCTCTCTTCCTGGGACTCAGAGCCTCTAGGTCTTTCTTCTCCCCCTGTTAGGCCTTCCCTTGGCATGCTACAACATGGCCATGTGCTGCATTCATGGAAAGGGTGGTTATACACAGGTATCCAATGTCATTACCAGTTCCCACAGGGCGGGAGCTCTTGGCTGTCTGACAAACCAGTGGCACTTCACTGCCCCAGGGTAGCTGGCCACCTTTCTGGGTTTCTTCCCAATGCAATAGAACTGCCACCATTCAGCATGGCTACCCACATCTGGTGTGGTCACCAATAGTTCTGTGAGCCATGAGCTTCCTTCTCAGAACAGTGCCCGGGCAATCTTGCGTCCTGTGGCCTTGATCCTGGGAAAGGAACCCCCTCCTCCCTCACTTGGGGGAGTTCCTGAGGCAGAGGGGCCGCTGGCAAGACCAGGGGTAGCAGTAGAGGACCTTCGCCGCTGCCGCAGGAGGAAGTCGTGTGAAGCTCTGTCCATAGCATAGAAGACATTGGCCGAGGGTGGGATGGTCAGCTCTGTAGGTTCAGAGAGGAGGCGTCAAGCTCAAACACAGTTGTTCCCCCAGTAACCACCTGGATGTAGAAGCATTCCCACTGATGGGCACCACTCTCCCCCCACGTCTCCTCTGACCTCGCTCCCCTGGTAGCAGCTGCACTAGCTCATACTCCGAAGCCACTGCAAAATCACGATTGTTTTTCTTAAGGACACGACTGATGATACTTGGAGCCTTGTCCTGGCTTGTCACCTGCAGGACAGGAAACCAAAAGAGCAATTAATTGGCCAGAATGACCTCTGCTTCCCATCCTTCCAACCCCAGCCACTGATCTCCCAACCAAAAAAGGTTACCCGTGTCCAATACATTTTTTTTTTTTGAGAGAGTGGAAGGGAGGGGGAGAGGGAGTGACATCGATGTGAGAGAGACACATTGATTAGTTGCCTCCTGTACGTACCCCAACTGGGGCTGGGGATCGAATCTGCAACCAGGTACGTGCCCTTTATCAGGAATCGAACCCCTGACCCTTTGGTGCGAAGACCAACGCTCTAACCCAGTGGTTCCCAACCTGGGGCACACGCCCCACAGGGGGGCAATTCGAGACTGAGTTATCAACAGTGACTTTTTGCATTTCTTATGGTTCTAGGGGCCTCATATACAGTATATAAATACATATTGTGACATATTTATGCACTTCAGGTCTCTATTATGTTTTGAAACTGCCATGTTTTCATATCACTTCATATTTTTAACAGTTTCTTAGTGATTTCTTCCTCAGTACTTCAGCTATCCTTTCGTTCTTTTATTTTTCTCTTTCATGGATGCCATATTCTTTGGAAGCTTGTTTAGACCAAGTTAATGGCCTTTTAGGCTTCCTCCATGTGACTACGAGTTCACTTTTTGAATAATAGGAATTGTATGTCACGGGGGGGGGGGGGGGGGAGGCAGGGGTCTCTCAGCCATCAGGATTTAGAGATGCGTAGGTGGGGCCTGGCCAAAAAAAGGTTGGGAACCACTGCTCTAACCACAGCCACTCCAATACTTCAGCGTGAACAGGGGAACCCAATGTGGTGGCCCGTCCTCCATAGGCCAACTCACGTGCCCAGCGAGATAGGGCTGCTCCCCGGTGGGGAAAACTGCTGTTTGTTCTAAAAATCTAATAGGCCACCAAAAGTTCAGGTGCCGCAGCTAACAAGGCTTTAAAATAAAACGGTCAGAATTAGAACTACAATCATCCTCCCATTTGGGTTCAAACCTAAGACTATGATCCCACAAAGCAACATCCTCACCCCCACCTCCCAGCCCACAGCCCCTCACCAAGATGCTCTTGTAGACACTGCCATCTTCCCCCAGCTCCATCTGGACTCGGATGATTCGACAATCGGAAGCCCCTGGCCCAGAGCCCCCTCCCCCGGATGCAGGCCCCCTGGAGGCCCCTTCTGCACCCCCACTGAGTGGGGTACCACAGGAAGCTGAACGGCGGTGACCTCGAGAAGGCCTAGGAGAGGATGCTGGTGGGGACAGGTGGCTGGGGCCAGCTGGACTCTGTAGGGATGGAGTGCTTTCCAGGGCAGAGTCCAGAGATGACACAGATGGCCACTTCATGTGCTGGGGGCAAACAACATGAGGGACTGGTGTGAGGCAGGGAGATCAAGGAAGAAACATTCACAAGAGTCAGGGTCAGTGTTGAGGTCAGAGGTCAGGAGCAAAGCTCACCTGGGCCAGGCGGGTCAACAGAGGAGCAGGGTTTCCAGGCACCTCATCTCCCCCAACATTGGGCCGGTCCCAGGAGACAAGCGGGGTGGGACCCCCAACAGAGCCAAGAACCCTGGAGTGGCAGGAGGTTGGGAGGGTCAGAGGAAGAAGGCCAGTCCCCAAGAGACTCCCCCCAGCCACGACCCCCTCACTCTGTCCACTGCGAGATGACCAGCGTGGGCCGAAGCACTCGAGGGGCAGGAGGGTCACCAGTACCAGGTGGCTCCACCTCACAGGACACTCGATGGCTGGGGAGAGGGGCAATGGGCAGAGGTCAGGATGTGACACATGATCCCCATACCCTGCCTGAGCCCTGAAGTCCCAACCTCACCCAGCAAGTCACCTCTGGGCCTCTGTCAGTGGCCGGAGCCCCTGTAACCACTGCTGGATGTCGGGGTCGGGTCGGAGGTCATAGCCACGACATTCATTCTGGAGCCGCCGCAGCTCAGAAAGGACAGCAAACTCCTAGGAAGGGACCCTCAGACTGTAGGAGCCAAAACTCAGGGGTCCCGACTTCCCCTCCTTCCTTCTCCCCTTATCTAGCACCCAGCCCAAGCACCCCTCACCTTCCTCCGCTTGTCAAAATTGATGTATCCATTCTGCAAGAGCAAGGGGGTGGGGTGAGAGTCCCACCCTGTCAGAGAGACCACGCCCCTCCCAAACACAGGCACCTCTGGCCGCCCCCCACCTCTCTGACACCCCCTCATCTGTCATTCCCTAAGCATCCTTCCTTACCCTCTAAATTGAGTATCTCAGGTTAGAAACTTTCCACATTACAGAAGAGAAAATTAGGGCTCAGAGAGAATTAGGAACTTGCCCGAAGTTCCAGTATTCAATCATTTAACAAAGTCTGTGTCTGCTTAAATTCCAGGCATGTTCTCAGCACTGGCCAAGGATTAATTCATTTAACCTTCACAACAGATGCAGGCACTGTCACTAGTTTCCCATTTGCAGGTCACTCGGGCACAACAAGGCGACGCAGCTCACCAAAGCAACGGAACCAGAACCCTGGCACTCAGGCCCGAGCCCTGGTGTGGCCTCAGCGCTCAGGCCTGAGCACCTTCCTGGAGGGAGGTCTGTCTGACCCTGAACCCCTGGTTCTAGATCCCACTGAACACACCACTGACCTCAAGCTCATCCTTGGAGGCTGCATCCAGCATCACCAGGTCCTTCAAGAAGGTGCCAAGGTACGGGACCACACCCTGTGGCGGAGGTCAGAGTCAGGCACCCTTGCCACTGACCCGAGGGCTCCCGCCCTTGCACTCCCCCACCCCATGCCTCAGAGGACAAAATGAATTGTCCTCACCCCGCTGTGCCTTTTCCCACCCCTCTGACTGCACCCCCCACACACACACTCCTTCCTCCTTCACAACCACCCCCAGCACTCACCCCACCCCGGGAGCCAGACTTCAGGGCCTTCCTGGAATTCGGCTCCAGAGAGGGCTGCCCTTTCACCTCCTGGGGGTGACAGAACAAGGGAAATGAGGGTGGGGGAGGCGCAGGGATGGTGAGGAAGGCCAGGAACGGGGCCTCACCCGCAGCAGCAGCTCCCGGCTCTGGGAATAATTATCCTCCTCAGAGAAAATCTGGCAGAGGCTGGAGAAGACCCTGAGGCTGTCCCTGGGGGATGGAGGGCAGCAGGTTGAGGGCCAGCGGCTTAGCACCCTCTCCCAGCCCTCAACCCAGCCCAGTGCCCCATCCTCCCCACCTGGCTGCTTCCCCCCAGGCTGCCCGAAGCCTGTGGATGGGGCTGGACTGCAGGGCCGACACCACAGCATAAACTGAAGAGAAGTTTCGGAGCAGACGGCACTCCTGTGGGGTCACAGAGGGAGGCCACAGCTGTGGGATCTCTCTCCACACCATGGTCCCCAACAGGGCCAATCTCCTCTCTTACCTCTGCCACACGGATCCACTTCTCCAGAAGCCGGGCCCTCTGGGGCGGACGGAGTGGCCGTATGGTCACCTCCCCCGGGTCCTCTCCAGTCGAGATAGCCCCCAGGACAGAGCTGACCACTGCCCCTGCCACCTTGTTGAACTGTGTGACAGTAGCTCGCACAGATGGGCAGAGGTGGGAATGTCCCGGCCGGTCTCTGTGACCCCACAGGCCCCCCAGGCACTGAGAGGGAACGAGATTGAGAAACAGCTCCTGTGGGGAAGAGGTCAGAGGTTACAGTTCATAGTCAAGAGAGCCAGCCTTCCAATATTAGGGGTGTGAGGATCTCAGGTGGCCAAGGGACCCAAAGGGGCACAGGATTTGAAGGGTAACAACCAAGGGGAAACGGGGGAAGGTCAAAACTGGGTGGACAGAGGAGGCTGGGAAGGGTTGGAAGCAAGGAAAGGATCTGGAGTTGGGGAAAGGTTAGTAAGGGGCACGGGCATGGGGGTCACAGGTCAGGGTCTCACCGCATCTAGCAGGGTCAGCTGTTCGGCCAAGTGGTCAGCGAGGAACACCAGGACATCCGTGGGGTCAGCAGGGGGATCGCCGGGGAGGGCCAGGGGCTTAGGAAGGTCGGGGGCCTGGGGGTCCACCCGGGACCTGAGGTTGCGGATGAGGTCAGCGCTGCCCCCCCCAACACCCTCCCCTGCTGCATACCCTGTCCGAAGCAAGAAGCTCTCAAGCCGGTCAAGCTGACCCTTGACCTCAGAGCCAAAATCCTCAGGGTGAGAGGCCAGCCAGGTTGACAGCACAGAGATGGCTACCCTGGGAGAAGGGGGATCAGCCAGGGGTCAGATGTCAAGCTGCAGCTTGGGCAGAGGGGACTTTGAGGTTAAGAACTAGGGGTCACTCACCCTTTTGTCCTCTCTAGTTCATCAGCAGGATGAGATTCAAGGGCTTCCAGCCTGGGGAAAGGAAGAGATCTCCCGTCTTTATTTTTCCCCAAACCCCCGGTGGCTTTGACTGTTTTGGTAGGATATTCTGCTTCAGAAAGTCCAGCACCTCTATGACCCTTGGTCCCTTACGACCCTGACCTGTCAGCCATGAGCCCTAGCAGAGCAGGCGTGGAGGTGAAGGCCCGGTGGGTGGCCAGGAGGGTTGCTGTGAAGGTCACATCAGCCCCTGATGTCCGGACATCCAGCAGGTGTCTGACCAGAGCCTCCAGGGTGCCAGCTCGGAGCCTTCGGGAGGAACGCGGGGGAGGTGTGGGGGCCTGGGGGAGACAGAGGGCCCGTCAGTGCCCTTCTTCAACTGCCCTAGGTTTCTGGGGGAAGCCCCAGGCCCAGGCGGTACCCCAGGCTCACTATACTAAGATTCAGAGAGGGCAAAAGATTGACCAGTCACACAGCAGAGTCCAGGCCTCCAGCCCAACCTAGCACTCTGGCCAGAAAGTTGGCCCTTCCGGGGGTCATGGGCCAGAGGTGAGAAGCCAAAGTTATGATCTCACCAAGGGATCAAGGGACCGATACTGGCGGCTTGTGACAGTAAAGGTGGCTCCATCCTCCTCCTCATCCCGGACAGACACGGGGGCCTGCAGGAGTAAGGAAGGGAGGTCAGACCGCCCTCCTCACCCACTGCCCCAGCCCTCACCCCCGGCCCTACACCTCCCTCTGACCCCTCACCTGTGAGGGCGGGGGATAGTACCATCGAGTGCGAGAGGATGGGGGGGCTGGCGACCCCAGGTCTCCCCCACTGGGGCCCAGACAGCCCCACCCAAACCGCCTCAGGGCCCGGTGGAGTCGAGGGGTTTGCGGTGGGGGAGCAGGTGGAGTGCAGGAACCCTGATCCTGGAGACCACCGTAGCCCCTTCCCCCCAGAGCTGAACCCCAGCCCAGAAGAGAAGCAGGGTGCAAAGCGCAGGAGGGGAACTGAGAGCCAGAAAGCCAGACAGAGACCTTGAGACGCTGAGGCCTCAGTCACAGGCACAGCCGCGCGCTCCGCCCTCCCCCAAGGACCTGGCCGAGCCCGAAGTTAGTCTCTCCCCTCAGCCCCCTTCCCCCTGGTCCCTAGAGACCCCCCCAAGGTGGCGGCTCTCATCCCAGCACAGGAAGGAGAAGGGGAAGTGGGGATGATGGGGGGCGGGGGGGACGGTAGACTCTTGAGTCACGTGGCTACAGCCCCTCCCCCAACCGATCCCGAAAAACCAGCCCTGCCAGTCACTGCTCTGGCCCAGCCCTGGACCCTGGGTCCAGAGCCTCCGGGCCCCAAGTCCAACGTCTGGCCCCTCGGGAGGCCCCCACCCCGCTCCCAGGCACCACTCCGCCCCGCGGAGGGCAGGCGGCTCCCCGGCTCAGCCTGGGACCGTCCCTCCAAGATCCAAAAACCTGGGTTTCCCGCCTCCACCCAGCGCCAGGCGGAGAGGGGGAGGGGTCACGAAATCGAAGGGCTCCCTCCCCAATCCCAGCGTCCAGGAGCGGTTACCGTGGAAACAAACCCCTCCCCGCCAAACACACACCCGGAGGGAGACCGGGACCAAAACTCGGCGCC